TTCAATGATTTAGCGTCTTGTAGTTTGATAGCGTTGACGTAGGAGCGAGCTGAGAGCAGATAAATGATTTAAACACGACTCTGTTAGCGTAAAACATCAATCAGATGAGAAGTAGCCTCTGTGATGTCATCCATCGGTTTGACTTCTGCTGTGAAGCCTCTTGTTCGTCATTTAGAGATCAGAGGTCATCTTGTTTAACGTCTGTGTGTGTGTGTGTGTGTGGTGTGTGTGTATGCATGTGTGTGTGTGTGTGTGTGTGTGTGTATGCATGTGTGTGTGTGGAAAGACACTGCTTTTCACACTACATTTCCATATTCTTGTTTACGCATCGACCTGCTCTCCAAACCTTCAGCGAGGTGATCTGACACTTCAACCACCCGACCTCCCTGACCTCCTGACCCCCAGCTCCACCAATCAGCCTGTGGTCACTTTACCACGCCGTCCTTTCATTCACACACGGCCTGCTCCGACCTCCGACCTCAGCGGAGAGAAGTGTGACTACAGAGATTCCTCTGATCTCATCTGTTTGAATATACTTACATAATTATTTGTATTCTATTTAATTTTCTGGATGAGCTTTCAGAGTTTATTAATCTGACTTTGTTGTTGTCTTATTTTCCATTATAGTTTATTAAAGACTTGAGGCGTTACTGTGAGCTGTCACGTGTTCACCATGAGGTGCAAAGACAGATTCTGGCCACTAGATGGAGCTATAAACAGACTTTAACTTGATCCAAAGGCATCTGGACTGCCTTTGGATGAAGCATCGAGTGGACCTGACCTGGATGTCTGAGACCCTCCACAGACGTAAACACAGACTCCTTTATGAGCTTTGTTTGTGAATGATGAGAATCAAAAAAAACATCCTGGTCCAGGTTCATCATCAGGTATTCATGGTTAGTGTCCGCAGGGAAATATGTTGCAGATGAATCAGAATTAGAAATACTGAATTAATCCCAGGTGTTTGCTCTTAAACACAAAACAGCAGGAGGAAATGTGGAAATGTAATCAGCAATAAGAACACAGCAGGAGTAACACCTTAAGGACACATCGGACATGTGGCTGCAGGAGCTGGGGATCGAACCTCGACTCTTCCACTGAGCCACATACATGACTCTCTTCATTAAAAACAGTCGGATATCAACAGGAAGACTTAAATGTGGAGCTCGAACCCATCAATCAAAAAAAAATCAATGAAGTAACATAAGAGAAATTTATCTGTTTTACTTTTGATGCTTATAAGATCACCTAACTTTTAACAACCCCTTTTTTATAATCTGCAGCGTGTGTGTGTGCGTGTGTGTGTGTGTGTGTGTGTGTGTGTGTGTGTGTGTGGTGTGTGTCAGTGTGTCTCTGTGGAGGTTGCAGGAATATTAAAGTCATTAAAAGAAAGAAAACAAACCTGAACCTCATTAAGGACCACACACACACACACACACACACACACACACACACACACACACACACACACACAGTAATATTGCAGTGCTGAGTCCTTATGGAGATGAAATAATCAAGACTTTATAAATATATTAATGTTCCAGTTGACCACTGAGGGCCGCAAACACATCAGAAACAAATCAGCTGTGTGTGTGTGTGTGTGTGTGTGTGTGTGTGCTGTGTCTAAGCGAGGCGCTCGTGCTTCTCCGCCGTGATTGCCGGAAAAAGCGAAGACGTCCTCCGGGAGCAGCCGAACCGAGAGAGACTCAGATGGAGGAAATGTGCGAGTCAAGCGGACTCTGTCTCTCTCCGTCCACAGTGTCCTGTCCCGGCAGAGGAGGAGGAGAAGGTTGATGTGGAAGTTTTCAGCAGCACACATCAGGTTTGCTTTTTATAAATCACAAAGAGAAGAGGAGTGAGCGACAGTTTGGAGGATTGTCTGAAGTGGAGGTGTAAAGTTTGAGACGCGTCATGGGGTGAACGTGACGGCTGAGGAGGATGAAGGAGCGTCGAGTCCAAACTCACAGGTGAGCCTCACATTCAACACGTTTCATTGTTTCTGTTATTTAATGTCCACCTTCACCCTGATAACTTCACTCCTGTTACACACACACACACACAACACACACACACACACACAACACACACACACACACACACACACACACACACACACACACTGTCAGGGAAACAGAAAGAGGCTGTGTGAGTAAATACACTTAGTTATTAAAGGTGCAGCTTCACGTGCTGAATTATGATTATCTTTCTGTTTGTGTGTGTGTGTGTGGTGTGCGCGTGTGCGTGTGCGCGCGCGCGTGTGTGCAGCTAATTAGAGACACCACACACACAACACACACACACACTCCTTCTGTCTTTTGTGACAGAACAAGGTCAGGTGTGTTGGCAGTGTCAATAATTTCCTAAAACACGCAGTGCATCATTGGATAGTCTGTGTCGTGCAGACAGAGGGGGAGGGGCCCCAGACGATCGCCTAACCATATGCTCATTGGTAAAGTCGGCAATGGGTGGGGGTTTTTGACTGCTCCAATGGAAGAAGAGACTCTTATTGGCCTGAACTAATTGAATGTTTTGATGTTTGGGGTATTTGTTCTCTCTAAGTCATAAGAAAGTTGAATCGGTCTGACTCATAGCTTTCAGTCACATGACAGCGTTGAGGCGTGGAGAATGTTCCAATGGGATTTTTATGAAGTCCTTTTCCAACAGTCCCCTCCTTTTTCAAACAGTCCTCCTCCACCTTTTCAAACAGTCCCCTCCTCCACCTTTTCAACCAGTCCTCCTCCACCTTTTCAAACAGCCCCCCTCCACTTTTCAAACAGTCCTCCTCCACCTTTTCAAACAGTCCTCCTCCACCTTTTCAAACAGTCCCCCTCCTCCACCTTTTCAAACAGTCCTCCTCCACCTTTTCAACAGTCCCCTGTGGTCTAAATGAAACATCTGTGCTGTGGCTTTGGTCAAAATATAACATGAATCAAGTGCCAGAGGAGGTTTGTGACCCTGTATAAACAGCTCTCTCAGAACGCTCCGTTTTGGTGTGTGTGTCTCTTTAAATGAAATGACCCCCCCCCCCCGAGTTTTCCCCGTAGACATCACTCCTCTGTAGAGAGAATAAAAATGGAGGACCTGCACTAAAGTTTTGTTCTAGGCTGGGGGTGGAGTCCATGGGTGGAGATACCAGGGGAGGGGAGGGGATTTTTTTTTTTTTTTACCAGAATCCCACTGTGACATCACAAGGAGAGCACATTTGAAACAGAGCATTTTTCTCTGTGTTGTAAGACTTATGCAGACCACAAACAAAGGACTGGATGGTTTATTTCACATGTTGTGGGTCAGTAGACTCTCAGGTTACCCAGATATATGTTCAGAAACACAAAGTGGATTTTTCATAATATGTCCCCTTTAAGACTTTATAAGAAATAAAGAGACCCTCTCAGTAACTCCTTTATTAAAGACCCTGAGCTGTGGTTTAAAGTTCTCAGAGTCCGTACACCTCGGAGCTCAGAAGAAGATAGCACATAAATGTTGTTTATATTTCTCACCACATTGTGTCCGTACGACCAACACACTTCATGAATATATTCATGTCTCATTAAATATTTGTGAACCTTCTATATAAAATATGTTTACATCAGCTTCTGCTCTTCTTTTATTTTCCTGTTTCACCTTTAGTGCTGCCACTAAATTACATAAAGATGTCTTTGGAGACTTTCTGTAGATGTTTGCTGTAAACCTGGAACTGATGAAACATGCTGACTCGGCACTCTGCTCCACACGGCCGCTCATCTAAACCTCACCTCTACCTTTAATAAGTAAATAAAGAGATTATCGTTTTTATCAGGAGCTGTGGACAAAACGTGTTGTGTCAAATATCAGTGAACTCTGAGAGTCATCCCAACCCTCCTTTAAACCTGACTGACCCCCCTTTTGCCCCCCCACAATGTGTGGTGGAAAGGAAGATGTTTGAAACATTTAGCATAAATCCAGTCTGTCCTGTGTAAATGTGTCTCTGAGTCCTGACTGTCTACAATGAGGGAGAAGCTCGAGTCCCGCTGGCTGTGTTGTTGTCAGAGCTGTGTTTACATGGACGGGACGGCCGGCTCCTCCCCTTGTGTATAAAAGCTGTTTTAGTCAAGAACTAGAGAGAAGAAGAAGAACATACTCACTGATTATTTGGATGTTAGTAAGAGTTTTTAGATCACGCTCATTCTGTGTCAGTTTACATGAAATGTGAAGCTACGAGCTAACTAAAGAGCGCTAACATTAGCATGCTAACACAACAATGTGAAGCTACGAGCTGACTAAAGAGCGCTAACATTAGCATGCTAACACAACAATGTGAAGCTGCGAGCTGACTAAAGAGCGCTAACATTAGCATGCTAACACAACAATGCAGGACACAGGGGATTGCAGCTCGAGCTGAGGACGATTTTGTCCACCGTTTGGTGTTTAATTATGGAGCGTTCTAATTGATAACTCCTCCGCGTGAACGTGAGTGGAGAGGAGTTGGAGGTGTGTCTCTGGAGGAGAGCGGAGGCTTCAGGGTGGAGGAGGCGTGGCCAAACAGCAGTTTGTTTTGGTGTCATGCTGGAGCTCAAGGGCGACATCTACTGGATCAAAAAGTCGCACATTCTTCCTTTAAGCTGGCTTCACACTTCTCAAAGTTTTTGGTCAGGTGGCTTGATTTAAGGCATGTTGTGTTAATAAGATTATTTTACTGCTCCTGATGGAGTCAGAGCCTCATCGATCTGGAATCTTAAATATCTAATACTAACATGCCTCCTTCATACACTTCCTGTTCCATGCAGACAGATGTTCTTCTTCATGCGTCCATTAATCAGCGATCTGAGGAGAGAAAGCTGAGCAGTTAGACTCTTTAAATATATTACCTCCACATTACTGAACACCTGAGTGAGACTCCTCGTTTCCTTCACTCTTCAATCAGAGACTGAGTGTAACATGATCTCATTACCTGAGGCCGGGCTTTTACTGCAGCATCATAATGGACGTGTTAGAGGAACTCTGAGTGAAACCATGTTGGGCTGAAGAATCGCATCACATTTGATTTATTAGAGCTCACAAACCTGACGTGACCTTGATCTGGATCAAACCTTTGGTACGGTTTGTTCTAAACTTTTGATTTTAATTTGTATAAAACGTTCCATTCATTAATTTCCACCGCTCCCCTGGGGTCGGGTCTCAGTGGCAGCTAGCGCAGTAAGTTTTTTTTGTTTAGTTTAATCGTTTATTTGAATCAGGGACAGTGTACAAAAAAAACCCCATTAGTTTCAGAAGAGAAGAGATGCTCTGTACCAGATTTAGCAAATTTTCATCTGTTATCCCTGGGCAGATGATGGCAACAGTCAAAATACAAATCAACCAGTCACACACACACACACACACACACACGTGCACACACACACACACACACACACACACACAGACGCACACGCATACTCCTCCCGCTTGTGTCAGCAATCTTTTTGTCACTACCCATAGCTCATGAGCACAGGTGAGGGCTGGAGAGTGACCGGTAAATCGAGAGCGTTGTCTTCATGCTCAGCTTCCTCTTCACTACAACGCCTTCATTACTGCAGACTCGGAACCGCTCCGCCTGTCAATCTCAGTGTTCACTTTACCCACGAGGCCCAGAGATACTTGAGCTCCTTTACTCGGGGCAGAGACATGACCCCCGCCCAGAGATGTTTGCCCTTTTCCACTAAAGAACCACGACGTCAGACTTGGAGGTTCTGACTTTCTGCAGAGTTTGGCCCAGAAGGCGTCAGTCTGATCAGAAATAAAAAACCTAAAAATATAAAAATGATGACTCCAGATCTCGTCTTCGTTCCCTGAAGCCTCACTTGTTGCTAGGCAATATTAAAGCTTGCCAACTGGACTGGACTTGATTCTGTTTCCTGCCGTGATCTGAAGACTGCAGATAATAAAATCATACTTCAGGCAGCAGAGGGTGAAGGTGAAAGAGAGAAACTTTAAACCTCTCATGACACCTTTAATGTTTGATTATAATGCTTCAGAGAGTCTGTCACTGAGCATGTGTGGGAGTCTGTTTGTGTTTTAAACTCGATCACACCGAGACAAATATCTTCAACCATGATCAACGAGCAGAGTGGCGAGTCTTTGAGCTAAAACTGCAGATAAATCTCGTGCAGATGATCGAAAACAGAAAGAGACAGACACAGAGAAATCTTCCAAACCTTCACTTTTTAGTATTCAGTCTGCAGAGAGGTGAAATCCAGTAAAAGCTTGTTGGCAGTAAACCAATGAACACTGACATTAAGAGTCTGGAACTTCAGATTAGTGTCCGTCCGTCTGCTCGTAAAGTGCATTTAGCAGAGTGGATGAAATCACAATGACTTCATCACGAGGACACAGAAAGAAAACTGAGGCTCGTCCTCGTCAGTTTTTGATCCAGGTTTGAGTTTTATGCTGAGTCAGCGAGGGAGAAGTTAGGAGTGAGGGAGAGGGTAAATTAAGTTTAGAAACTTTAAAATCCACCAGCCAATCCAAGCGCTGCATTCAAGGTCTGATACGAGAAATCTGCAGTCAGAGGACGAGGCAGGAGTCTTGGTACGTTTCTCTAATTGTCAACTAATCCAATAAAAAGGCTTCCTGCTCAGTGAGCTGAACAAGAAGGGAGACCACTCTGTTCTAAAGTTATCGCTGCAACACCTGTTGGTTTGACCTGATAACTGCTCTCATATCTGACAAACCGAGAGGTGTCCAAAACGGCCGTGTGGGGGCGCCTTAAAACTGCTGTGAATCTGTAAAATGTAAACATCATCTTCCTGCCAACTTGCCCTTAAAAGTTTTTAAAACCTGGAAGATCCAAAAATAAAAAGATCTCCTTTATAAACATGAGTCTCTGCAGGTTTCCTCTCGCTCTCTCTCCATGCCGTGTTCTGTCTCCTCCAGGCAACCATGGTGAAGGAGAGTCTGCCCAGCTGGGTCCAGCAGGACTCGGAGGACGGTATGGTCCACGTGAACGTCGGCGGTCTGAAGAGGAGTCTCTGCTCGAGCACGCTCAAGAAGTTCCCCGACACCCGACTGGGGAAACTGCTCGCCTGTGACTCCGAGGAGGATATTCTGCAGGTCGGTCGTTGGAATTATTTATGTCATGACAAAAATCATTTCAGAAACAAGCTGCTGGTGATCTTATTGTCCTTTAGACACATCCCCATATCCTCATCACTTCCTCCTCTCTTCCTGCTTCCTGTACTTATTAATATCCTCATCACTTCCTCCTCTCTTCCTGCTTCCTGTACTTGTTAGTATCCTCATCACTTCCTCCTCTCTTCCTGCTTCCTGTATCCTCATCACTTCCTCCTCTCTTCCTGCTTCTTGTACTTATTAATATCCTCATCACTTCCTCCTCTCTTCCTGCTTCCTCTACTTATTAATATCCTCATCACTTCCTCCTCTCTTCCTGCTTCCTATATCCTCATCACTTCCTCCTCTCTTCCTGCTTCCTGTACTTATTAATATCCTCATCACTTCCTCCTCTCTTCCTGCTTCCTGTATCCTCATCATTTCCTCCTCTCTTCCTGCTTCCTGTATCCTCATCACTTCCTCCTCTCTTCCTGCTTCCTGTAGGTGTGTGATGACTACGACGTGCAGCAGAAGGAGTTTTATTTTGACAGGAATCCCGGCCTGTTCCCTTATGTCCTCCATTTCTACCAGACGGGAAAACTTCACATCATGGACGAGCTGTGTGTCTTCTCCTTCAGGTCAGTCTCTCTCTCTCTCTCTCTCTCCCACTCATGGATTTGCTCTATGCATTTACCCAGTGCTTTTATGGGACCATGGTTGCCTGGCAACATTGTAATATATATTTGTGTCGTCTGCGTAGTTATGATAACTTATTTTATTGTTTTTTATAATCTGAGCTAGTGGGAGCATGTAGAAGTTAAACAGAAGAGGCCCCAGGATGGAACCTTGGGGAACTCCACAAGTAATTTTTGTTTGCTCAGATCTGAAGTTACCTATAGACACGAAGAAGTCCCTGTCCTTTAAGTAGGAGTTTAGTACTGTGCCAGAAACTCCCACCAAGTTTTCCAGTCGGTCGAGTAATATATTGTGGTCAACTGTAACGCAGCACTGAGATGAAATCAAACCTGACTGGAAGACATCAAAACAGTCGTTCAATGTCAAGAAGTGAAAATGTTTCCCACAGGAGCTTTAAACAGATTCACCAGCTGCTCTTCTATTGGACAAAGTCTCTCTTTAACAACGCAAGAATAGGGATTTTGAGTGAGGCTTGATGGTGATATAATTCTATTATCTTCATTGAAACCCCTGTTAGCTGGTTAGATTTTTAACTCCTGTTCCCCCGCCCCCACAGTCAGGAGATCGAGTACTGGGGCATCAACGAGTTCTTCCTGGACAGTTGCTGTAGTTACCGTTACCACGACCGCAAGCTGGAGAGCAGCCGCCATCGCAGCTGGGACGACGAGAGCGAGGAGAGCAGCATAGACACGTCTGTGGACGAGATCTCCGACCTGAAAAGGTACCTCTCCGTATCATTATCAGAGTTTTTATTTCTCTCTGGGAGTGACTTTAACCCCTCGTGGTCTCCTCTTCAGAGACATGCTGCACTTTGAGGAGGTGCGCTACGGACACATCAGGAAGTGTCTGTGGCTGACGCTGGAGAACCCCGGGTACTCCATCCCCAGCAAACTCTTCAGCCTGCTCTCCATCTGTGTGGTGCTCACGTCCATCGCCATCATGTGCATCAACAGCATCCCCGAGTATCAGGTGGGAAACATAATGGCGTACTCATTGCATTAGTCTGGATAGATTTCGCTGACGAGGCAAAGACAATGCACAGAGTGGGAGAGGCGTGTACGTGCTGGTGTCTTAAATACATTGTAAAGTTAGTAACGGCACTTAGATCATTGATTTTGTGCTCCTGGAAGTTTTTTCTTTTAAAGTACTCTTAGCGCCTGATGGCTTCGATGTGCATCTCAAATCTGACTCACAACTCAGTGGACTGTAAACACACAGATCTGAAACACACATTTCTACATTCTGTAAGGCTTACAGGCCATATTTTATAAAAGGCTCCCTAAAAAAACCCAATTCAAACATCGCTAAAAGCTACAAAAATAGAAATATCATGACAGTAATTAAGCAGACAGTTGAGCAGCCACAGGAGAAAACACATAAACCATGCAGGATACACATAAAGCAGCATTTGGTTAATATATAAAAAAAATGTATATCATGCAGGACAGACATGGAGCAGCATTGAGCAGACATAACAATGTACCAAAAAAAACAAAAACAAGTATTAGTAAAAGCACATATCCAATAACCTACTGAAGTAAATGTAACGGGCACACAACAAGACAACATGTAACACTATATACATGATACATGATTGGAAATCAAAAATACACAAAAATACACAGTGCTGATTTTCTACAGTACAAAGAAATCCAGTGATTGCCATCTGACTGCAGACACTGTAGGCCGACGATCAGCTCTAATTAGATGATGACGAGTAGGATGTCAAAGGGAGGGCGTTAACATCACTGTGGAGGCCTTTTGTTGAATATGAACACTCTGATTATCTCAAACTCTGAGAACTCTATTTACACAAAAACTGCAGAATGTGGAAACTTTGGAGTAAAAACCAATAAAACCAACAACATCCCAGTCAGAGATGCATGTGTGCCAGCAGATGCAGAAAGAATCGCAAAAAGAGGAAACACAATCAGCTCAGCTCTGCTAACACGAACACATCCAGCTGTGTCTCACTCTGAGCCCGCTGTGAGAGGACACTTGGTGAAGGAACGAGGACATGAAGAGGGAATGAAGAAACTAACAGCTGTCAAAGTGTTGAAGTGAAACTTGCATGTGCCACAATTCAGACAATTATCTCAATCCACCTCATCACAGTGTGCGACTGTTTTTAGTTTGTATCTCGACATCATCGTAAACGAGGGAAACCTCAAAGGTCTAGAAGGCTAAATAAAAGTTTGAAGGTTGATTTTGAGGCTTTTATCCGAGAGACGGGACAGGTAAGGGTAGTCAGAAATGTAGGGAGAGAGCGAGAGAGTGGGGAAAGACAGGTCACAAGTCGGACTTCAACCCAGGCCGTCCGCCTGGAGGACCAGTGTCTCCGTTCTTGGGGCGCGCACACTTACCTCAAGCTACCAGCGCCCCCTATAGGCAACATAGCAGAATTACATCCTAACTAAATATATCATGGAGAAACGATGCCTAAAGAGAGTCAAGTCAAACTCCCTCTGGTTTGTTTTCTCAGCTCTTGTTCACAGCGACCGGACGACATTTTCTGTTTCACTCAGAGGTTAAAACACGTGACATTCATGTGTTTTTTCACGTGAACCCTCCCTCTCTAATCATTCTGCCATCTCAATGGGAAGAGAGATGGTCACGCCCACTGATGGACATGTACATAGAGCATATTAACAGAGTTGTTGCTAGATTACAAGATGAGGAGAACCAGCAGACTTTACAAACTGAAAAAGCATTTTGTTTGTTCTCAACTGGTGGGTCGGGACCCAAAAGTGGGTCGCAGAGCCGTTTTCAGTGGTCGCAAACTTGTGACAGGAAATTTAAAAAAGTGTCTAAAGTCTTGGAAGCGCTCTTAAAACATGCTGGTTCTGTTCCTTCTCTTGATTCTGTCACATGTTTGTACCAGCTGACTGATTAACATGAGCTCCATGTTTTGTTGGAATCCCCCACACAGTATGTTTGATCTCTACTTTTCCTCTCAGACTTTTGACAGTGAGGGATGCTGCTGGAGGACTCGACCATGCAGGCTCTGGAGGTGTTCTGTACCTGCTGGTTCACCTTCGAGGTGAGGAGAGAAACACTAAACATGCTGACTATGTTGATGATCTATGAAGATTAATAAAATGTTTGTTCTGTGTGTGAGGTGGTGACGCGGCTGCTGCTCGCACCCAACAGGAAGAAGTTCTTCCATCACCCTCTGAACATCATCGACGTGGTGTCTGTGGCTCCCATCTACATCACGCTGCTCTTTGACCTGACGCTGGGCTCAGAGTCTGAGCTGGGGGATCTGGGGCGACTCATACAAGTTTGGATTTGTTATTTTATATGAATTTAAAATATGTGTGTACCCTTTAAATAAACATGATGTACATGTTGCTGTAAAAATTAAGATTAGTTTATTGGTTGATTGGTTGATTGATTGGTTGGTTGGTTGATTGGTTGGTTGGTTGGTTGGTTGGTTGGTGTTGATTGGTTGGTTGATTGATTGTATGTTGGTTGGTTGGTTGGTTGGTTGGTTGATTGATTGATTGGTTGGTTGGTTGATTGATTGGTATGTTGGTTGGTTTGTTGGTTGGTTGGTTGATTGATTGTTTGGTTGGTTGATTGATTGATTGGTTGGTTGGTTGATTGATTGTTGGTTGTTGATTGATTGGTTGACTGGTTGGTGTGTTGGTTGGTTTGTTGGTTGACTGATTGGTTGGTTGATTGATTAGTTGATTGATTGATTGGTGGTTGATTCATTAGTTGATTGATTGATTGGTTGGTTGATTCATTAGTTGACTGGTTGGTTGGTTTGATTGGTTGGTTGGTTTGTTGGTTGACTGATTGGTTGGTTGGTTGGTTGGTTTGTTGGTTGACTGATTGGTTGGTTGATTAGTTGATTGGTTGGTTGATTGGTTGGTTGGTTGTTGTTGTTGATTGATTGGTGTGTGGTTGGTCGGTTGATTGGTTGAATGAATGGACTTGTTGTTCAGTCTTAATAAAGTGTTTAATGGATTTTGAAGACTTTACAGTTTTTATAGCATTACCATGTTTAAATAATTTTCTCTGGTTTGTTTTTTTTATAAAGTATTTATCTAAATCACTGACTTACTGCGGACTCGTGCACTTCAAATGAGAAAGGTCTCTCTCTCTCTCTCTCCCTTTCCTCACCCCCATCTCTTTCAGGTGTTCAGGTTAATGAGGATCTTTCGGGTCCTGAAGCTGGCCCGACACTCGACAGGTCTGCGGTCTCTGGGAGCGACTCTCCGGGTGAGCTGGGACTTGGATTATGTAACACTTCACTTCCTGACTCTGTGCAGACACTCGATGACATTAACCGCTCTCAGGATATTTAAAACTTTTAATTGATTTGTATTTTCTCCCTGACATTTTGTCCATTGACCTTTTCTGTATCAGATCAACTTTGATCGATGGTGAACAGATGGAGGCCTGAGCTCACTGTTCGAGGAAACTTTACTCAGAGAACATATCAAACTCTGAGGCCTTTCAGTAGACCAACAAAACACCACACAGCTTTGGACCAAAGGAGAGAGCGAATGTGTTATTTTACTTTATCACTTTAAAATGTATCCTACATAATCCAAATCATTTTAATTCACTATCTAAAGATATTTCTGTTGAAGCCCACATGGCATGGTTTCATTTAGGAGACGTTCAGGTATGTATCTTTAAAAAGCTGGAAGGTCAGCTCACCTGAATTTGACTTTAGGTTTTATTGCTGTGAATACTGAACATGCTCATATCAGGATCACGTGCGTCCGACTAACTAGCTGAAAAGTAGTCATATCGCCACCTATGATAGCTGAGTCTGACATTCAAATGAAACGATGTAATCAAACTGTAATGTTCACTCGACTTTGCTGTGCATGTAAACGTACTGACTGACATGTGGCGCCCCCTTGGTTCCATTTTGAGGCCACTATGATTCATCCTGCAAAGCTCACTCAAGGTAAAAGACAAATACATTTTATTTGTATCCCACTTTACGCAGACGACATTCAGATATACTCTGGTCTTTAATGAAGTGTCTACGGTCCAATGGTCAGAGGTCTCGTAACAGTGAATAGTAGCATCCCTAGAATTGAGCCCTGGGGTGCTCCTAATGCCATTGTGATCCACTCCGTAAGCCCGGCTCAGACTACAAGAGGTTTAAAATCCAACCTGATTTATAAATCAGGTAGCATCACGGTCATCAGAAGAATCGTAGATATTTATCTGTTCCGAGAAGCCTCGAGTCGAGCACACCACTGTGATTTTCTGGAAGGCACTGGACTTCCAATTGGCTTGATTATCCTCTAGTCTGAGCCCGGTTTTCGTTGCAGTTTTTTGTCAGTTATTTACGGAGAGACTCTTGAAAATTAAAGTATCCAGACTTTTGACGCCTCTCCACTTGAGCCAGACGTGTAATGGTCATGTCTGCTCTCAGTTCTCCGTGCAGAGCACGTGAAGTGTATCAGTTTCACCTGCAGAGAGCCTCCATCTGATGCAGAATCAGTGACCGCAGTCTACTACTGCTCAGCTCCGCCTGGGTTTGATTTCATGAACACATGTAATCAAACCCGCGTAGAGTATGTGAGAGTGAAGATCATGTTACAGGATCATCTGTCATAACATGCACAGAGCATTATCTGCGTATAAAGTCTTAATGTGTGCACATTATTGTCTGCAATATCGAGTTTGGCTTTTGACAATGTTGCTGGTTTATTGGATGTGAAGGCCTTATGTTTACATTTAGACTGCAGATTTAAATTGATGCTTCAGAGAAACACTGGGAGCTCTTTGGTCTCTTCTTATCAACTGAGTTTAAACGTTAAATAAGCAAAAACAAGAAGTTTAAATTTGAGCCAACAAACTCTGAATCTGGACCAATCATAGCGGGTGTTTGTACGACCAGGCTTAACCCTAGGCTAACCCTAACTTCAAACACAGTAAAAACATTTTGAAAAGGAAACGTCTCCTGAAGGAAGACGCTCTGGTTATCAGAGTCGGGCACTGTTTGTTAGTCCAACAGCTGCAATCTGTAAATGATGATTTCTGTTTGGTTCTTACGTTGAAACTTGAGAGAGAGAGAGAGAGAGAGAGAGAGACAGAGAGAGAGAGAGACAAGCTGGATTACAGGGCGAGTCAGACCATAACTCAATGAACTGAGAGGAAGAAGGAAGGAAGGGAGGGAGGGAGGAAGGAAAGAAGGAAGGAAGGAAGAACGAAAGGACCGACTGACTGACCGACCGAATTAACAAACTTCAGTACATTGGACTCAATGTACTGAAGGAGAGGAAGAAGGAAGGGAAGGAGGGAGGGAGGGAGGGAGGGAGGGAGGAGGGAAGGAAAGAAGGAAGAGAGGAAGGGAGGAAGGAGAGAAGGAAAGAAGGAAGGCAGGCGGGAATGAGCAGACTAAAGAAAGAAAGACAGATAATGATTTATGGAGGTTTGAAGCTGTAGTTAAAGAGACGTTTATTTATCATCTGTTTCTGACTTTCTCAGTTTTTTTAACACCGTCCCTCCATATCGTTTCTGTAGCACAGTTACCGTGAGGTCGGCATCCTGCTGCTCTACCTCGCTGTGGGCGTGTCCGTCTTCTCTGGGATCGCGTACACGGCTGAGTATGAAGAGGTGACAGCTCGTGTTTTACTGCAGTTTCAGATAAATGTGTTTTCAGAGCTGAGTCATGACTCCTCTTTCTGTTTCAGGACGTGGGTCTGGACACCATCCCCGCCTGCTGGTGGTGGGGGACGGTCAGCATGACCACGGTGGGGTACGGGGACGTGGTGCCCGTCACGGTGGCCGGGAAGCTGGCGGCGAGCGGCTGCATTCTGGGAGGCACCCTGGTGGTGGCGCTGCCCATCACCATCATCTTCAACAAGTTCTCCCTCTTCTACCGACGACAGAAAGCTCTGGAAGCTTCTGTGAGGAACAACAACAGCAGGAGGCTGAGGATGAGCTGCGAGGAGGCGCCGGAGGACGAGGAGGACGAGGACGAGGGGTCAGACGCAGACAGCAGGTGTCTGGACGAGGACGAAACGGATGACATGGAGGACGACGACATCGATTATGAAGACGACGGAGGAGTGATCAACTACAGCTACGTGGAGCATCCGTCGTACTCGTTCATGCTGAGGAGGAAGGAGCTCAATCAGCTGTGACGCAGACAGGAAGTCAACCTCCTCAGACTCTGATCCAAGTTTTCCAATCAAACTAAAAACCCTCGAGAACGTTTATTATTTATTCTGAACATCGACTTTCACCTGACCCACAGCCAAACAGTTGTAGAACAAAGATGGCCGTCATCCAAACGGTTCGACCGTCCAAACAGAGAGGACAATAAAATGAAGCAGGAGCTCTTTAATCAGAGTGAATAATGTCGGACTCTTATTCTGAAGGGACTTTAATTCTGCGTCTTCCAGGAGAGGCTGCTCTCTCTCTCCTCTCTATGTGCATGTGGTATGTTTAAGGATGAATGATCATATGAAACACATCGAGCTGCAGGTCTGGATGAATGAGCTGATGTGAAGAAGCATGCACAGAAAAGAAACAAGCAAAATAAAAGATATGATGAAACACTGTGAAGGTACTTTACTGTGGAGGAGGGAGGAGGGAGGAGGAGAGGATGAACGGCGAGTTTCATGTTGTTACCATTTATAAAAACTGAAAGTGAGCGATATTTGGACACCTGTGAATAACGCAGACATGATCGTGTTTGCAAATATTCACTCTTCATGATGCGTTTATAAAACCATGTTGGTGCTCATCATTCTCTGTTCTCTCTCTCAGCTGGGTTAACCTCCTCCTCCTTTTCCTCTCTCTCTCGTCATCTCTCTATTCCTCCTGAAATATCCGTCCTTTAACAGAGGAGTTGGAGGAGGGTCCTGAGGCCGGACAAGTTGAGAACCTCTGATTTATTACGAGTATAGAAACCATCTTATAAGTCGTCGTTATCAAACAAAAACCATCGTCATTACCATCATCATCATCAATAATATGGAGACCATCATCATTAAGTTAGTAGGTATTCATGAAAGAGCTGGGTCTTTAGCTTTTTCTTAAAGGTGCAGAGGGACTCTGCAGATCACATGGAGTTTGGAAGTTCATTCCACCACCGGGGGGCGACAGAGGAGAAGAGTCTAGTCAGCGTCACGAGATCCAAGTCGCTGCAAAACACCTCCCTGTAGGAGGCTTTAAAAAAGATCCAGATCCAGACTCTCCTGCAGTGTGGACGCAGCCTCAGATGATCACCTGCTGCACCGGTTCTCAAATGAAGCTAGAAGAACATTTAAGAACAGTTAAATTAATATGATGAAGCCTTTAAAACGAGGCCTTTGATCCTCACTGATAACAGCTGTGATCTTCAGCCCCTCCCCCTCCCTCATCACTAACACACACTGGCTTCAGTTTGTGTCTGAATCAGCAGCTTCAGAGTGACTTTGTGAAAGGTCCGGCGTGTTAACAGGATGATGGATCGCACCTGTCGGCCTGTCAGCTAACATCAGCTCAGCTTGTCACGGGGGGGGGGGGGGGGGGCGCTGTCCTGTGAGCCCGCTGCTGCTCTCTGCAACAGCTGATCCTGATGTCTGTTTACATATTCACTTCTCCTCACCTTCGTCTTTGTTTTCCCCCTTTAACTGAATGATGTCTGCATGAAGTCATTTCACTACACCTTGATTCACCTTTGTTTATAAAGGAAGAATAAGTCTGCACACCAGGAGCTTACTTACTTTCACTCTGATCCTGTATTTGATCATGTCTATAAACCCCTCTATTTCAGCCCTGCTCAGAACAGGCTGTTTCTGTGTCTGTACCTTTAAATATGTAAATGAGCGGTGTCTGACCACCGCAGCGGCTCCGTCACTCTGACCTCTGCAGGAAACTGAGGAGGGAAACTCAAGAAGGTCGTCCTGACGAGCGGAAACATCGCTGATGTCACACTGGGAGGGAAACGTGGTGGAGTTCTTAATAAAGCAACAGCACAAAGTTTAACAGTCAAAACTCTTTAAGGACTCTGAACCACGTTAAAGTTTTAAAACAACGACACCAGCGCCTTCACTTTCTGCACTTTTTATTATTTTCTTTATACGACAGGCAAACAGGAAGCAATCAAACAAACATCAGAGATCTCAAAACATGGCGTCCACTGCAGACTTTAAGGCAAAAATATACAATTTATAACCTGTGGACCAATCAGGCGTCAAGACAGGGAGCGAGTGCAAAAACATGACTAAGAGCTCAGCAGGTAAGACGACTCTCTCTACAAGATGTCAAAACTACGGAAGCCCCAAAAGGACATGTGCATCCAGACGGTTGATTTGTCTTCGTGAAATCTCAAACACGACTCGACATCGCCCGGCTCGTTATCAACGTCTCTGTCTCTCTGATTCGTCAGTGATCAGAGGAACCGAGACGTTGTGATTTCTTTCTGATAAACTGGTGATGTCGAGAAGGAGTCGTGTTTGATGTCTTACGCAGCTACATCATGAGACTTACTTTAAAACATGTAGCGACGTTTCCCCGTGGTAACAATTGATTACATTTAGGTCGTTTTTTTCAACATTTAGACTCGTTAATCTCGTTATCTCTGGATCATAATGCCGTTTTCCTGAAATAACGACTTCATTTCATCGTTTTCTCAGAGGTGAAGTCGTTATCGCAGCGTCTTCATCACAAGGTAACGAGACGATCTGGAGAAAAAAACAACCTTAAAGTTCTCGTTCACACGAGATAACGGCTTTAAATTAAACGTTTGGCTGAATGTCCGCTTTGGGCTTCCGTACCAAAACATGAGAAGAGTTTCTGTTTCCAGTGATTACGACTTTATTAATGAAGCAGCTCAGACGTCACGTTTCATAAAAATCTAATTTCAATTCCTTTTTTTTTTTCAGAGTATTCATCAAACTCAAAACACAAAAAACAGCACGAGTTCAAACTGAGGCACAAAGATGAAAACTTCCCTTTTGTTTGTTTAACAACACGGAGAAAAGACGAGTCGTTCCAGCGTGCTCTTTATATTCAGATTCATCACAGACACGAGGTTACTTTACACCCTGAGGACTTTCATGACCTGAGAATCTGCTTTTCATTCTCACACACACTCCCGGGGTCAGACGGCCGTGACCTCCTCTAAAGCTACGTAGAAAAAATAGAAATCCTCCCGCCGATCTAAGCGGCGAGCGGCTCCCAGGAACGCCAGGGGGTAAATCTTGTGTGAGCGTCTTCCTGGCACACTCGGGTTCAGGCGGCGCTGCCAGATCACACTCATTTATCCAGCAGATAAAAGCTTTGTTGAATCTCTTCCATAAATGTGTCAGGCCCGGCTCGCCCTCAGAGACGCCGGACGCTCAAATGAAATCACTGCAGAGCACTGAAGGTCGGACGCCGGTGGAGGGAAACATTTCCCTCTCAGTCCTGTCCAACATTTAAACTCCAGCTGCAGAATATATCAAATTCCGATCTTAAAATGTAACAATCATTCAAAGTGGATTATCAGAGTTTCAGTTTGTTATACGGAGGCCATGAGAGGACAAACATCCAAACGCTTTGTATCACTCGGTTTTCTCTTGATAACGAGGAAACTCTGACGAGATTCATGAAATCTCGACTTATTTATCTCAAGGTAACGACATGAATAAATCCAGATCTCTAGAAAAATACATTATAAACTCGTTATCACAGGAAAACTGAGTAATTGAAAATGTCTGACTGTACGTCGGCTCAGGGCTCCGGTTTGTTCCATCAAAAACAAAAACAGGATGAAAACAAATCATTTCAACTGCCCGACAAAAAAACAAACTTGATCCCGACATTCAGAGTAACGGGGTGAAAACGGAGTCTCACTCGGACGTCGGCTTTTCACTAAACTCTTTCATTAAGAAGCTCCAGGTTTTTTATATTTCTGTTTGTCTCCTCGCTGAAGCTAAGCAGAGAACTTTAAGGACTCTAAAGACGAGTTCAGGGGTTTTATATCTTTTAGTCTTTTCTCTGAATCATTGAAGGCTTATTGTTGAAAACAGAGACTCAGGGGCCGACTGATAGGAGAATTTTGGGGGCAGATATCGATATGTCGGCCGATATCTTTCTTAGATCTGTAGAGACAGAGATATATATAAACATTTATTGTGTTGAAGACAAGATGGTCACTCGACTGGAAAATAACTGAGCGTGTACGTGCGTCACTGCTCGACACTCTGGAGAGTGATGATGATTGTTGTAATCCATACAGCGCCCTCTGCTGGTGAGAGAGAACTGCTAATGTAACACAGTGAAACTCTAATGAAATTTTATTTGACTGCTGAATAAATCGAGTGATATCGGCGCATATCTGAGATAAAATGAGCCGATACTGATGGTCACTGGATTTGCTGATATCAGCCGGCTGATTTATCGGTCGGGTTCTAGTTTGTTCACATTAATCATGAATGTTTGATCCAACTGATAGAATCAAAAAGTACTGAAGCTGAGAGAGAGAGAGAGCAGGGGCGGTCGAATCAGATTCATGCTGACGTTTTAAAGTCCAATTGGTGGATCATTAGAGTCCGTGTCCACCAACCAGCAGCGCCCGTTTCAAAACTAAATCAGCTGAACGTTACAGCCCTCTGAGTCGGACGTTTCTATTCACAACGCTATCAGTTGAAACAGCGCTGCTCTTTTCAATGTCATCTCTCCTTCACTGACCAATTAGAATCAAAAAGGGGCGGGACTTCAGTTATCAGCTTTGTCAACATGTCTTTGTCTTTTTAAAGGAACGGTTTCAGATGAAGAGCTGCGGCGGTGACATTTCTTTGAGTTTAGGTGAATATAAAATACATGAACATTTTTAAACCGCCCTAACAGCCACGAGCGAGCGAAACAGAAGGTAACTTAGCAACGATGAGCGCTCGTGATAGGCGCTCTGCAGCGGAGGTTGTGGGCGCTGCTGCCGTCTGTGGACATCGACCAAGAAGATGAATAAGTAACGTTGACGTTTCTTATTTCACAGAAACAGTGATGATGTGTTTGAAAGTAGAAATGATCACATTTGAAGGTTTTTTGTTGCCGTGGTAACAAAATGAGTTAAAGTACAGTTTGATTTGTAGAGGTATCATAATGAAGTTTATAACTGGTATCGTGACACTCCTCTAACCTGCAGCTTCAGAGGCAGGAATGTGCTCAGACTAACATGATCAGAATCTAAATCTAATCCCCCTTTGACAGAGGAGGAGCTGGAACCAAAACCAGAGGAGTACCTAAATCAAACAGTCAGCAGGTTAACGACACAGTACCACGCGCTTTAAAGTTAAAAAAAACTGAAGTAATAAAAGATCCAGGCGGCTTTCAGACACGGAGACAGTTTGGAGTTCAGCTCAGCGGCTGGAGGAGAAACGTTATTAAAGATCCAGAAGACGGGACGACAGAGACGTTCTGAAATCACAGAAAGACGATGAAAGTCATCACCATGAGAGAAGAGCGCTGTGTCAGCTCGTCCTCTGCAGCGTCCACACGATGAGGCGTCACACCCGGCCGCGTCGTCTCATCGCCGCTCGTTCAGGGTTAAAGTGTGCGGCGTGTTTGTTTTGTGAAACCTCGTCTGTCTTTGTGGCGTTTCAAACCTCCACAGAGAAAACAACAAACATCCGGCTGTTCTCTGAGACGACGTCAGCACGATCGTCTCAGAAGTTCTGCTGGCGGCGTTTTTTTGGCCTCGATGGCGTCCAGGATGGGCTTCCTCTTGGCCTGGTAGCGCTGCCGGATCTCCTCGATCTCCTGCTCCATCTGAGGGTCCAGAGAGGCCAGACGCAGACGCAGGTCCTCCACAGACCACGTGCTCACCTGCAGACACACAGCACACATCAGTTTACAATCTGAAGTTATTCATGACGACTCTAACACAGATTTATCCTCCTGCTCATCTTCATTCATGAAAACGTGTTCACGGGCACAAATACAGAAAATGAAGGATGCATCCCGTCCCGCTGCACCGTGAGGTCCAATCAAAACGAATCGTTGACGGATAATCGTAACAGAATCGAGAGGCCACAGCTCTACTCTGATTCTAAAGCTTCCCTCCTCCTCCCTCCCTTTCCTCCTTCCTTCCCCTCCTCCTCCCTCCCTCTCTCCTCCTTCCTCCCCCCCCCCCCCCCTCGTTATCATGACCCTCTGCAGAAAAACACTCTGAGGAGTTCAATCATCAAACAGTCCATTAAAGAACACTTAGAAAAAATCTTTAGCACAAACCCTAAAATATCTGAATCACGGCCGTGAGGATCAAGGCGTCTCTCTCTCTCTCTCTCTCTCTCTCTCTCTCTCTCTCTCTCTCTCTCTCTCTCTCTCTCTCTCTCTCTCTCTCTCTCTCTCTCTCTCTCTCTCTCTCTCTCTCTCTCTCTCTCTCTCTCTCTCTCTCTCTCTCTCTCTCTCTCTCTCTCTCTCTCTCTCTCTCTCTCTCTCTCTCTCTCTCTCTCTCTCTCTCTCTCTGATGCCTCCTTTATCTCTTGCCCCTGAGGGATTCCCCCTCTCAGCTTTTACCAGCAGCACTCTGCAGCTATTTATTACCCCGATCGATGAAACTAAAATAACACAGATAATCATTTCGAGAAGTGAAGGAAACTGGACTGAGGTACAGGGTCAAAGGTCAAACAGACGCAGAGAGCAGAAACTTTGAATATTCACTAATATAATAATTGTAAAATATAAAAAAGATTCAGAGACATTTTACCTCCTCGTCTAGGAGCAAAGAGCACACACAGCCCGCTCCACAGCCCCTCCCAGCTGTTTTTTTACTCCCCAGATACACTCAGGCGTTTGTGGAGCGACCACACTGAGGGCGAGGCGTCTCCGTGTAACGACACTTATCAGAATCAGAACTGGAATCTGCTTTGAGGAATGGTGATCAGATCAAAGCGCTACATTAGCATCTGGTCCGAGCCGTCGCACTCACATCTACAGAGGTCGACTCTTCAGCACATTGTCACAGCGACAGTGTGAGCACGAGGACAGCGTGAGCACGAGGACAGCGTGAGCACGAGGACAGCGTGAGCACGAGGACAGCGTAAGAACGAGGCCAGCGTGAGCACGAGGACAGCGTGAGCACGAGGACAGCGTGAGCACGAGGACAGCGTGAGCACGAGGACAGCGTGAGCACGAGGACAGCGTGAGCACGAGGACAGCGTAAGAACGAGGCCAGCGTGAGCACGAGGACAGCGTGAGCACGAGGACAGCGTGAGCACGAGGACAGCGTGAGCACGAGGACAGCGTAAGAACGAGGCCAGCGTGAGCACGAGGCCAGCGTGAGCACGAGGACAGCGTGAGCACGAGGACAGCGTGAGCACGAGGACAGCGTAAGAACGAGGCCAGCGTGAGCACGAGGCCAGCGTGAGCACGAGGACAGCGTGAGCACGAGGACAGCGTGAGCACGAGGCCAGCGTGAGCACGAGGACAGCGTAAGAACGAGGCCAGCGTGAGCACGAGGACAGCGTGAGCACGAGGCCAGCGTGAGCACGAGGACAGCGTAAGAACGAGGCCAGCGTGAGCACGAGGACAGTGTGAGCACGAGGACAGCGTCAGAACGAGGCCAGCGTGAGCACGAGGACAGTGTGAGCACGAGGACAGCGTGAGCACGAGGACAGCGTGAGCACGAGGCCAGCGTGAGCACGAGGACAGCGTGAGCACGAGGCCAGCGTGAGCACGAGGACAGCGTAAGAACGAGGCCAGCGTGAGCACGAGGACAGCGTGAGCACGAGGCCAGCGTGAGCACGAGGACAGCGTGAGCACGAGGACAGCGTGAGCACGAGGCCAGCGTGAGCACGAGGACAGCGTAAGAACGAGGCCAGCGTGAGCACGAGGCCAGCGTGAGCACGAGGACAGCGTGAGCACGAGGACAGCGTGAGCACGAGGACAGCGTGAGCACGAGGACAGCGTGACACTTTCAGATTTAAATAAAGACAGTCGTCTTATTGGGGAAATAAAAGAGAGAATAAACAACAAGTCAAAGTCATAATGTCCAGGGCTGCCAGTCTTTTGGTCAATTATTTTGCCACTTTAAGAAAAGTAATTGGTGTTGTATGTTATATCGTTGGAAAGCCTGATTAGTCACCTTTACATCGAGGTATAACTTGTAAGGATCGTGCATTCGTGAACTGAGCAACACAGCTAAACGTGTGGGTAGCGCTCTAAAAGAATTTGCCAAAATCCCCTGCAATGGGGCGCTGGTGGCGACCGAAATAACATTTCCAAACTTTTTTTGAGGAGTTTATTCTGGATTCATGATTCTAGTTTGTGAATGAGTCCAGACTTTAGGATCTACTCTAGTTAACGAGTTAGCATTAGCAGGAAGTGAAGTTATGAATCTATTTAAAATCTCAGAAGATAAAAATCTTTAATCTTTACATGAATGATTGTTGACTCTGAACACTTTGTTCTCTGGAGGAGAGAGAGCAGCCATGTTTTATTGAAGAGGAAACGTAAACAGAAAAACTGTTCATGAAATATTTAACTCCAAACCTGCACGCACGCACGCACGCTGAACTTCATCATGAACTCTTAACAATGTAACTTGAATTGTGCTTTCCCTTCAGCAGTTAAAAATGTAAAACGAATATCTAAAATATCATAAAAATAACGATACATGGCCGCCATGAGACGATATAATATCGGCACACAAAATATTATCATGATACTGTACTGTATCGATTTTTCACCCCACCTCTAACGAGAAGCTCCAATCACCTCCCTCTGTTAGCCAAAACACACTGACCCCGCCCCCCCAAACGAGAGCAAGAGCCGAAGAGGTTACGAGGTGCATTAGTGTCATGGGACAATTAAAGGAATCTTTTTTAGTCATAATTTGCTTTCAGTCTGATTTTGTAAAATAACTCTTATCATGAGTTGGGTGAATGGTTACATCCCTATTCAGGACGATTTCTATGAGAAATGTAAATGTGAAGGATCATGTGGATTTAGATGTAACTAAGGTCTCTTTGAAATGTGTTCAGAGGAAAGACGGGACAAGAGACGTGGAAAAAAGAAAACCGATAAGAGAAGAATAAAAATAGATAAACAGAGGAAACAGGGAGGAGAGACAGCACGGAGCGATTGATGGAGATCGGATGTTCTCCGTCTCATGAATAATGGAGGTGAGTGCTCTCCCACCACATGTTCTCTGCTGTCACACCACTGGACAGGCTGCAGCACAAACCCACGAAGAAGAGTAAATATGAGACAAGGACGCTATGAGAGGATTCTAATAAAACTCCATGTGGGGGTGTCTGAAGACGTCCAGAGATTCAGGATGTTTGCTTATTTTAAATGTTCAAACCACAAACTGCTGGAAACAAAGAACAGAAACATCACTGTCCTGGATCTAAAGGAAAACATCTGGCAGCAGAATCCTAAAAATAGTCCAGTAGACGGGTCTAAATTTAAACACAGTCGGCATGAAGCTGTCAGCAAAACGCCTCAAAGTGTAGAAGAAGAAATCAGCTTTTCATCCTCACAACAATAGTGAGATATGTGTCATCAAGAAGTGAAGCCGATTTCACTTTGAAGAGTATTTAGAGGAACCGCCTGATTCCTCTACGTGGAGCAGTGAAGCAGCCGCAGATATTTGTGTCTTTAAAGGTCCAATCAGTGAGATGTGTAGTGATGATAAAGGTATCTTACTCTCTGATCATTAAGGAAACATGCTATGTTGAAGTGCTGGCTTCTCTGACAACAATGCAGCAGCCAGTATGTCCTCCTTCTAACTTTAGATTCTGCTCCTGAATGCTCTGGATTTGTTTGGACCACATTGTGAAACATTTTGTCGCTCTGTTTTGTGAAGTGCTGCGAGAATAGATTTCTGATCTTTTATTTATAATTCTGCTGAAGAAAAGAGGATGAGTGTGTGACAACTTACATGAGGTTGTTGTCACGACAGTCTTTGATAAACCTATTGAGAATGATGCGCAGTGTGTGTGTGTGTGTGTGTGTGTGTGTGTGTGTGTGTGTGTGTGTGTGTGTGTGTGTGTGTGTGGTGTGTGTGTGTGTGTATTACATCTCCAGGAGTAAAAATCCGGTTCAATCTGCGGTTACCTGTCAGCATCTGTTAGAGTAACAACTTCAAATACACAAAGGAAGTGATCCACGTCTCAGGTGGTGCATTTAACAGTACGAGCGCACGCACGCACGCACGCACGCACGCACGCACGCACGCACGCACGCACGCACGCACGCACGCACGCACGCACGCACGCACGCTGGCAACTACATGATCTTATGTCACCACATCGCCACGGTGAAATCAGAAACTTTCTTCGGGGGTATATAACCTTTGTCTTTTCTTCATTGCACTTCTGTGTTAAATACTTGACTCTGATTGGCAAGACAAAGCAGCGGTCTGATAATCCATGACAGTACTAAAGTAAGCAGACGGTTGATCAGAGACTCTGGAGGACTAACTCTGATCGTATCAATCAGCTCGGAGGCGTTTGGTTAATCTGACTCCGACCAGCCAATCAGAGAGTAGATTGGGCCCTCGCTCCGTGACAGCGGTCATTATTATTAAGCTCATCATCGAGACAAAGTATGAGGTCCAACATCCTCTGTTTGAGGTTCACAGGGAAGGAAAAGAATTATTTAATAAATCATACAGCAAACAGGAAGGTAGCAGCGGCGGCCGTACAGCAACAACAGACTGTTGTCATGGAGACAAGACGCATGTTCAGCACTTCGCACACAAACGTCTCAGCTACTGAGCGCTAGGTTAACCCTTACTTAATAACACACCTTTCATGGAATAACTGCTTTAAGGTCTGAAACACGTTGCCGTTGGATACGCCCTGCAGGCGCGCTCAGCAGCCGGAGAGAGTTCTGTAAGAACCTTTAAGACCGAACAGGCAGCGAGGTCAGAGAAAACCATCTCGTACTTAAAGGTCACATGTTTAATATTTAATTAATCTGCTGCCGTTTGTCCTGCTTAGACGTCCTGGAGACCAAACAAAACAACCTCTGCTTCCACACTGGCAGAGAAATGGTTTCCATGACGATGGTTTCAGACCATTTTTAAAGGTAAAGGTCCAATCCGATGAAAGCATTAACATGAAGTCTCTGTTTCTAACGCTCACTCTTCTAAAGGCTCAAATAAACTTTCTTTTGAACAATGCGTAGACAACCGGCTGCGTCGTGAGCGTAACGTTTACATACTTATGTACGCGTGTTACTGGAGGACTCCTCTAGAGGGAGCAGCACTTAAAGGGGACATATTATGAACAATCCTCTTCTTCAGTGTTTCTGAACATATATTTGGGTAACCTGAGTGTCTAAAGTGGTCGGCATAAGTCTTACAACACAGAGAAAAATGTTCTGTTTCTAATGTGCTCTCCTTGTGATGTCACAGTGGGAGTCTGGTAAAAACAAATCCCCTCCCCTCCCCTGGTATCTCCACCCATGGACTCCACCCCCAGACTAGAACTAAACGTTTGCACAGGTCCGCCATTTTTATTCTCTCTACAGAGGAGTGATGTCTACTGGGGAAACTCGGGGGGGGGGGGGGTCATTACATTTAAAGAGACACACACACCAAAACGGAGCGTTCTGAGAGAGCTGGTTTATACAGGGTCACAAACCTCCTCTGGTGCTTGATTCATGTTATATTTTGACCAAAGCTCAGCACAGATGTTTCATTTAGACCACAGGGGACTGTTTGAAAAGGTGGAGGAGGGGACTGTTTGAAAAGGTGGAGGAGGAGGACTGTTTGAAAAGGTGGAGGAGGACTGTTTGAAAAGGTGGAGGAGGGGACTGTTTGAAAAGGTGGAGGAGGAGGACTGTTTGAAAAGGTGGAGGAGGAGGACTGTTTGAAAAGGTGGAGGAGGACTATTTGGAAAGGTGGAGGAGGACTGTTTGAAAAGGTGGAGGAGGGGACTGTTTGAAAAGGTGGAGGAGGAGGACTGTTTGAAAAGGTGGAGGAGGGGACTGTTTGAAAAGGTGGAGGAGGGGACTGTTGAAAAGGTGGAGGAGGAGGACTGTTTGAAAAGGTGGAGGAGGGACTGTTTGAAAAGGTGGAGGAGGAGGACTGTTTGAAAAGGTGGAGGAGGAGGACTGTTTGAAAAGGTGGAGGAGGACTATTTGAAAAGGTGGAGGAGGGGACTGTTTGAAAAGGTGGAGGAGGAGGACTGTTTGAAAAGGTGGAGGAGGACTATTTGAAAAGGTGGAGGAGGAGGACTGTTTGAAAAGGTGGAGGAGGACTATTTGAAAAGGTGGAGGAGGAGACTGTTTGAAAAGGTGGAGGAGGACTATTTGAAAAGGTGGAGGAGGACTGTTTGAAAAGGTGGAGGAGGACTGTTTGAAAAGGTGGAGGAGGACTGTTTGAAAAGGTGGAGGAGGACTGTTTGAAAAGGTGGAGGAGGGGACTGTTTGAAAAGGTGGAGGAGGAGGATCATATGTCCTCTTTAAAGTCAGACGGTGTAAACACTGATGTAGAGATTCTAGATTTGCATCATCATGTAAACAAACATGGTATAGTTGCAGACTTGATTTATTAACTTTCAAATCTTTCCTCCATTGCTGTAGCGGCTCTCTGGTGTCTCATCACCAAGACAACTCCACACTGCCCCTAGTGGTTATTTGCATATTGCATCTCAAAGACCTGTAGCGTTCATTTCTGAGGACGTGCAGAACCAACGCTCCAAACGACCACAGGATACACCAGGACGATGTCATGTCTGAACGTACGCGGGCTTTACTCACCACTTGAAGATCTCCTTCAGGGGGAACTTTGCGGTTGTCTGCGTTGTTTTCTCCTCTCCCTCCTCCGTCGTTGTGGCTGTTTGCCTCCTTCTCTTTCTGCTCAAAGTACTCCAGGAAGGACGGCTTGGCCGGCTGCATCGTCTCATCTCTCCCTGGGAGTCAAAGATTCAACAGTTAGTGTGTGACAGCAACAAGATGTGTGTTTAAGATCACAGAGGGAACTTCATTTATAGTCTGATAAATAAAAGAGATAAAAGAGATGTGTTTACAGTTTATATGCAACAATCTCAAAAGTGGACAGGCAGCGGGTTCTGACTCCTAACCTGTGAAGCAGCAGCTCTGTCATTGGCTCTACACTATAAGAAGCTGTTTTCATTCTCACTGTTTTTAATATCTCCGAGTTCTTCATGTTTCTGTCTACTCAAAGAAAACATGAAAACATTGTGAATGAATCCTCTCCTGTCATCAGCAGCAGCACCTCCCTTAAAACAGCAAGTCACACTAGTTTCTGCTCCGCCATTGTTGTTGACAATATAGATATCATAAGTCCCGCCTCTTCTTGATTTTGATTGGTCGGTTAGAGAGAAGTGGCATTGACTAGATTGGTGGTGTTCCTAAAGTTGGACCGGAGGAAAACACTGAGCAGCGAAAATACAAACTCTACTTTTTATGTTGAAGTGACTCAAACATAATGTATTGAGCTCCTATGAAGACCCCCGTTACCATGGCAACTATGACTGAAGAGCTGATAGCCGAGGGAAGGTAAACATGCTAAGCTAACATCAGAGTGGAGGAGGGCGACTTATTCATGAGGTCATAATCATTGACAGAAAACTGTGGTATATCTTTTGATTGAAAGAGTTTGATATTAAAGTTAAAGCTTGTTCGCATAATGTTTTGACTTTTCTTCTTCTCCAACTCTCTCTGACTTTTAACTACAACAGTAAGCTGACGTTCTCTGTGAATCAGGCCTCCCACAAAGCTGTTTAATGAAGATCTCACGAGGGAAACAATCTGTCTCTTACATCTGTCAGATTTGTCAGGTTTTATAGATGCTTAGCTCCGTAATGACGATGAATGTCAGACATTAAGTTGTATGCTCCCATTAGCTCTCTTAAGCATATCCCTTAAATCGTTGCTGGTCTCACTTGTGTGACTCTTGAGTTTGTTTTCATTGGAGGACAAAGACGTTGGCTGTTTATCCTCCTCCTCACAGCGAGAAGCTGCCAACAGTCTGGACCTCTGAAGAGTCCATGTGTAAGCTAACCAGCTGCAGTTTCCTTAATAAGGAGTTTTTTCACACAATCAGATAAAAGAAGGTCAGAGACATAAAAACACACAATGTAACGTCTCTTTGATTCTCGTTCTGTTTCTGCAGTCGTGGAGCAATTATCTGATGTCCAAAGATTCCTGTAAACTGTGACCCGCTGTGCCAAACCATGTGGAGGCAGGGAAGCGGCAAGTTCCTCTGTTTCAGACTTCTGCATGTTTAGTCTCTTTTAAAATATGCTCTGTTATGAGCGAGGAACTGTTGCATTGATGTGCTCATTAGCAGGATGTATAAGACTATAAACGTCATCCATCTTTGAAGAGGAAAGTTTAGAGAACGGGAGCCCACGCAGTTATTAAAGTGAGAGGATGTATGTGGTCAAAACATGCACGTAACCATTCTTTATGTGAGATCTTAACAATCAAACAGCTCAAAAGTTTCTTCTTCCCAGAGCTGTTCCAAAGTTACTCCATTAGAGAAAAGTTATCTCTTTAAAACCAGACTAAATGTCATATTTTGAAACAGCCTTAAAGGTCACATATCCTCCTCCTCTTCTTCAGTGTAAATAAGTGTCAGAGCTCCTCAAAACATGTGTGTGAAGTTTCTTGTTCTAAATCCACTCTGATCCTGTATTTGATCATGTCTATAAACCCCTCTATTTCAGCCCTGCTCAGAACAGGCTGTTTCTGTGTCTGTACCTTTAAATATGTAAATGAGCTGTGTCTGACCACGCCCCCTCTCTGGAAGGTCTTGGGTGTACTCAGTGCTTTCTCGCTCCATGTCCTATTGTTTACAGTGAGAAGGCAGAATCAGAGGGCAGAACAAACACCTAGCTGTGGGAGTGTCACCCACCTGGGGGAGGGGCTACTGCCCTTTGTGATGTCATGAAGGGAACATCTCCAAACGGCCTGTTTGAGCACACATTTTCTGAAAAGTGGAGCAGGCAGAAGACGGAGAGGATATGAGACTGAAAACCTACACAGACAATGAAAAGGCCATGTGCTGTACCGGTTCCACTCTGTCACTTGAGTCCAGCACAGCATGGATTTGAGTCTACCTGCTAAAAGTCTCTACTTGTTATGTTGTTGGAATGCTTTATTATGAAAGAGTCGAATCAGGAAATGAGGTGTTTTCAGCAGCAGCTTAACAAACATCTGCAGGAGAGAAAATACAACCCTCACAGATTCAGTCAGAGGTAACTCATCAAAACATCCATGTGTGGTCTAATGCACAGAAAGTAGTCCATCCAACAGGCCTGTTTGAGGAGGGGAAGGGGGGTCGTAGGGCGTGGATATTTGTGACTTTGCACAAACCCCTATCATACAGTACTACTGCTATATAAAACTGTAAAAACTGAGATAAGGATCTGAGGTCATATCACCCCTGAAATAAGAAACCAAACATGTGGAGACAAGCCCGTCAGAAACTGCCCGGTCGACTGAGGAGAAGTTCAGGGAGAACTTTGATTCGACCTTTTCTCAGCCTGGAAGTGAAGATTGTATTTTTCGCTGCATCATTTCAAACAGCAGACAGACAGACGACGAGACGAGCTGAATGATGCTTCAAAGGTCAGGGGGTTGATTTAAATTTGATGCATACAGATTCATCACGGTGCCGCACCCAGTCGACCTTTTTATAACCAAATCATCGTTCTGACAGATCTCATTTCCACACTCCACACACTGTGTGATGAGGGAACGGAAAAGAGACCGGTCTATTTACTGGAAGAAACATGAAGCCGGAGTATTTGAATGCAGCTGATTAATTATGATGTGAAGTCACATCAGTGCATCAGCTGAATCCTGAGCTGCATTAATGTCTATAAAAAGATAGAAAGATGACGGTCGAGCCCCTCCTCACAGTGGCCTAATCGCCACGAGCAGACGATGTGGAGTATAAACATTTAAATGTTGGTTTACCTCTGTAGAGATGTTCAGTGTTAAAATAAAGATGCTTTGAAGACGTCTCAAGTGAGTGAGATCGAGCCGGCTCTAAAGCTGGTAATGATGCTGGATGAGTAAAAAGAGCTAATGGTCTTCTTCTTCTTCTTCTTCTAGCAGATAAACTGCAGAGTCACAAACAGGATTTTAGTCTCGGCCTCAGCAGGATTAAAGTTTTTATTATTCCAGCAGTGTGAACACTTTGTTCTGCAGCTTTAATAACCAGACTGAACATAAAGAACAAGTTCAGGAATGAAACACTTTACAGAAGTTTAAACTGCATCAGTTTATCATCGTTAAAGTAAAAGTTTATTTTAAATATAGGACATTTAAAGCAGCTCTGTGTTTGTGTACGTCTTGTTTTAGGGCAGCTGTGTTGTGATTGGTTGTATTTGACCTCTTGGAGTTTGTTATTATTTGGGGGGAGGGTTCATGGTGCTGCTGTGATGTTTGCTAAAGGTGGTTTCCCAGATCCGAGTACACTAGACCCCGAAGTCTGGTTCAAATGCACCGTACTCGGGTACAGCGCCTGAGTCTGCTTGCAACGAGGAAGTGGACTGCTATATTGACTCGTCCTGACTTTGTACACAACCAGCTCCAAATAGAGTAAATATCTCATGACTATGCATCCTCCTGATAGCAGTGTTTAAATATTGGTAGTTTTGTCCTTCTTCAACAGAAGTGAACATGCTAACAAACTGACGTCGCCTGCAGGGAGTAACGTCCTCACTGCTGCTTCAAAGTGGCCTCTAGACGGGACAGCGATCTGCTCTCTACCCAAAACAGAATTAAACTTTAATAAAGGAAGGAGATGTGAGAGCTGAGCCGGTACAGAGAGGGAGGAGGAGGATGGTGGGGGGGGACGACATTCACTTGACCGTCTGGACCTCTAAATATCTACTTAAGAATATTTATTTTAAGGACGGAGCATTCAAACATTTCCCATTAGAGGGCGGTATTTAAGGAGAGAGAGAGAGAGAGAGAGAGAGAGAGAGGGGCGGGGGAGACTCAGTCTGTGTGCATTTCAGACGTTTCAGAGGAAAGTTTGAGTCTCTGAGAGAAAGAGGAAAAGAGAGGGATGTCAAAACTCATCCATCTTTGTGTGTCTGTCTCACTGCCAGACAGAGAGAAAGAGAGAGAGAGAGAGAGAGAGAGAGAGAGAAAGAGAGAAGAGAGAGAGAGAGAGAGGAAAGAGAGAGAGAAAGAGAGAGAAAGAGAGAGAGAGAGGAGAGAGAGAGAGAGAAAGAGAGAAGAGAGAGAGAGAGAGAGAGGAAAGAGAGAAAGAGAGAGAGCGAGAAAGGGAGAGAGAGAGGAAAGAGAGAGAGAAAGAGAGAGAAAGAGAGAGAGAGAGGAGAGAGAGAGAAAGAGAGAGAGATAGAGTAAGCGAAAGAGAGAGAGAGAGAGATAGAGAGAGAGAGAGAGTAAGCGAAAGAGAGAGAGAGAGACAGAAAGAGGGAGAGGAGAGAGAGAGAGCGAGAGAGAGAGTAAGCGAAAGAGAGAGAGAGAGAGAGACAGAGAGAGAGAGAGAGAGAGAGAGAGAGAGAGAGAGAGACAGAGAGAGAGATAGAGAGAGAGAGAGAGATAGAGTAAGCGAAAGAGAGAGAGAGAGAGAGAGAGAGAGATAGGAGAGAGAGAGAGAGAGAGACAGAGAGAGAGACAGAAAGAGGGAGAGGAGAGAGAGAGAGAGAGAGAGAGACAGAAAGAGGGAGAGGAGAGAGAGAGGAGAGAGACAGAAAGAGAGAGAAAGAGAGACAGAAAGAGGGAGAGGAGAGAGAGAGAGAGAGAGAGAGAGAGACAGAAAGAGGGAGAGGAGAGAGAGAGGAGAGAGACAGAAAGAGAGAGAAAGAGAGACAGAAAGAGGGAGAGGAGAGAGAGAGAGAGAGAGAGAGAGAGACAGAAAGAGGGAGAGGAGAGAGAGAGGAGAGAGACAGAAAGAGAGAGAGAGAGGAGAGAGACAGAAAGAGGGAGAGGAGAGAGAGAGAGGAGAGAGACCACCAATACTAAAAAACATTGCAGAGTCAAACCCTGGAAAGACATGATGAGCGTGTGGTGTAAATCTGTAAATCAGAC